CGCCAATCGGATTGGTTGGCCAAGTTGGATCTGAAGGACGCATACTTTACAGTCCCCATAGCGTTGAGCTGCAGGGATTACCTCCACTTCACGTGGCACGGTCGACGCTGGCGCTTCACTTGCCTGCCGTTCGGCCTCTCGTCGGCCCCTTGGTGTTTCACCAAACTCATGAAGCCGGTCATGGCTTACCTTCGTACCCGTGGGGTGCGACTGATCGTCTACCTGGACGACATACTGATCATGTCCCAATCCAGGGAATCTCTGCTGTTACATTTGGGTTGGACAATCAACCTTCTCCAAAATTTGGGTTTTCTGATCAACTGGGACAAGTCGGTCATGGTCCCTACCCAATCTATAGAATTCTTAGGTTTCCAGGTGGACTCCATCAGGCAATTCCTGTACTTGCCGGAGTCCAAAGTGAAGGCCATTCAGAAGGAGCTCCGAAGGGCTCTTCGGGTGCCGGATATGTCCGTCAGGCAACTGGCAAGGATTATCGGCCTTCTGGCGGCTTCGATTCAGGCGATCTTTCCGGGCCCGCTACACTATCGTGCCCTCCAACGACTCAAGGGTTCACACCTACGTTCGGGTCGCTCTTACGAGTCCCGGATACATCTGGACGACGAGTCCAGAGACGAGTTGGTATGGTGGTTGGCACACATGGAGGCCTGGAATGGCCGGGCCATCTTCGGTTCGGTCCCGGATGTCGTGATAGAATCCGATGCCAGCTTACACGGCTGGGGTGCTCGTTGTGGAAACGTTTCCACCGGAGGCAGATGGTCCGACATGGAGAGGTCCCTACACATCAATTGTCTAGAACTGCTGGCGGGGGCCTTCGCGATACGCAGTCTGACCCCAGGCCGGGCAGACTGTTGCGTTCTCCTCAAGATGGACAATGTGTCGGCAGTCCGGTACATAAATCATCTTGGGGGTACCAAGTCCAGAATGTTGGCACTATTGGCGAAGGATTTCTGGCAATTTTGTCTCCTCAACAACGTCTCGGTGCAGGCGGAACACATTCCGGGCCTGGACAATTCGGGTGCGGATTGGAATTCCAGGCACTTAAGAGACTCGGGAGATTGGCACTTGCACGTTTCGGTTTTCCGAGGTCTGGACAGTCTCTGGGGACGCTTCGAGTTGGACCTGTTCGCTTCACGTCTGAACACTCAACTCCCGGCGTTTTACAGCTGGAGGCCAGACCCGGCAGCAGTAGCGACGGACGCCTTTCTCCAAGACTGGCCTCCCGGACGCCTGTATGCCTTCCCTCCGTTCAACATGATCGCTCGCACGATATCGAAGTTGGTCCGGCACGATTGCTGCCTGGTACTGATCACACCTCTTTGGAGGTCCCGTCCTTGGTTCCCACGCTTGATGGAGTTGTCGATAGACTACCCCAGACTGATTCCGAGCTTCCAGGATCTTCTCCTGGACCCGGATGGGAACTCGCACGAGCTGGTGCTCCGACATCAGCTACCTCTGATAGCGTGGCTCCTTTCAGGGGTACCTGGGTTGTCCCGAACGTTTCGCGGGCGACTCTGCAACTCCTCGATAACGCTTGGGCTCCAGGTACGCGATCGGCATACCGCTCTTCATGGGGCTCATGGTCTAGTTGGTGCATGGAACGGGCAGTGGATCCCGTATCTGCCCCTCTCCATCTAATTCTGGAATACCTCACTTTTCTGTTTGATTCGGGCAAGGCGTATCGAACTATCAACCTTTTTCGTTCCGCTATATCGGCTGGACATGTTGGTTTGGATGGTTCGCCCGTGGGCAGACACCCCTTCGTGTGTCGCCTGCTCAAGGGCATTCGCCTCGCCCGTCCGCCCAAGGCTCGTTTCTCTGCCTTTTGGGACGTTAACATTATGCTTCAGTTTCTATCTTCCTGGTACCCGAACCAGGGACTGACCCTTAAGCAACTGTCTTCCAAGTTGGTTATGTTGCTTTGTTTGGTTTCATGTAAAAGGGTTTCTGATGTTAGGGCCCTCGATTGGGACGCCGTTACCTTCTCCCCTGAAGGTGTGACTTTTAATATTTCCAGGCGGACTAAATCTGCATCAAGGTCTTTCGTATACCCTAGATTCCAAGGGTGTCCGGCACTCTGTCCAGTGGAGTGTTTAAAGGTCTATTTGGAGGTGACTCGACCTCTTCGCTCACTAGACCTACGACCTTTATTCATTTCTTTTCGTACTCCGCATCGACCTGTGGCGACACCGACCCTGGCACGTTGGGTGCGTTGGCTGTTGTCTATGGCTGGTATAGACACGTCTATCTTTACACCCCATTCGGTGAGGGGTGCTATGGCTTCCAAGGCTTCGACAGTCGTCTGTCGTCTGGAGGACATCATGCATGCAGCGGATTGGTCTCGAGAGTCGACCTTCCGTGACTTCTACTTCAGACCTATTGAACACATCGCATCTCAGGTGATAGCACAGCTTTGAACTTGCATAATATGAGCCTCCGTGTCTTTAATAAAATTCCCAGATTTTACTATTAACATGACGTAAAGTCATGATTTTATTAAAGACACGGAGGCGAGTATTATTCCCTCCCACCCTCCCGGTGTGGGGTATGGAGCGAGATGCGATTTGGCGTGTTCAGGTATGTTGGGTTTGACCTACCTTGGATGTACTTCATATGGTGTATTACATATACTAATTAATTATGTCTATTATATTTTTCAGGTTTCATTCCTTAACCTTATGACAGGTCACTAGTTTCGTATTGGTAAGTCTACAGTTTGGAGTTTGGTTATTACCATATTTCTCTCTCTTTTTTAGCTTGAAATTGTCGGTTTGTTCCAGTTCCCGGTTTTGACCAAGCAGGATATCGTTCTTCTTACCTGGTCTTCGGTTTTCGCAAGAAAGAGGGGGATTGTGGGAGACACAGGCCTTATATAGTCACTTCCTCTGTTATGTGATTGGTTGCCTGTGTATCTATACAGTTTTTTCTTTCATTTTTGATATATTTATATTCCTCTATCTTTGCTGCTGAGGAAATAAAGAAAGAGTTATGCATAATACTCGCCTCCGTGTCTTTAATAAAATCATGACTTTACGTCATGTTAATAGTAAAATCTGGGAATTAAATGATCAGATTATATA